AACAACCGATGGATAGACCCAAGACCCTTCCTTTTGTTCAAATGCTAATTTTTGGTGGCTAAGACCCCTCCATCCTCCCCCATAATGCACCCTGCTCGTGTTGAGCAGTTTCTTTAAGCTCGACTGAAAGCAGCAACTCTCGTGCAAGCGGCATATAGTGCTCGGCAGGAAAAAAAGAAAACTTGAATAATATATGACAGTTCGAATTTTGAATTCAACATTAAAAGTGATGACGTGCGTACAAACTCCACTTTATTTTAATCTCCAGATCCCCGAATCAAAACCTCAGGCTTAAAAGCAAATGTTAAACAGCCTCTCCTCTCACTGAGATCATTTGCAAAGAAAAAAAAAAAAGAGGGAAAAAAACACAAGGAGTTGAATACATCTGAATATAACCATTTTTCCGCCTGCAAGCTAAGCCGGAACTAGAGTCCCTATGAAATCCTGCTAAACCAATTAATGGTTCCTGTTAACCCACTCATCTTTGGAGAAGGGTTGTCTTTCTCAATAACACCGCAACACCTCCCTTTCTCTGGTGGAAAGAAAAAAAAGTGGCGCGGCCCACACACACTAGCCGCTGACAAAGGAAAACCAGATTGGCATCAGGATGAGAGAGTGTCTTTCCTGCTACAGACGTGATCATGAGCGTCACTGTTCCTGCGTAACACCTCTGATGCTGGGCTTTTGGCTCACATCTACTGAGCCTCCGTATCTTCTCGCACCCTCTCCGTACGTAAAACCAATGTCAAGCTGGAACAAGTGCATAGTATGAAACGGAAAATACATTCAGCCTGTCTAAATACAGCTCTGATGTGAAAAAAGGGGTATTTTAAAATCGACTAGTCTGTCTAAAGAAATGTCTAATTGCGCTGGTTTAGAGTCAAGCGCACCAGATACCAATCAGATGCTTTTCTTATGAGGGCATTTATATGTGACAGCTAGACGGGACGCAAACGAATGGAGCAGAATGTGATTGTTGAATTATTTTCAATCTGACATGGCATCCTAAAACAACATTCAAAGCACAAAATGCTGGAAAAACACAGAGATGTGACTCTATTGTGTCAGCAGCAACAACAAAAACTGGAGTGTTGTGTTAACAGCATCACGGTCAAGGGTTTGAATCCCAGGGAAAATATGTACTGATCAAATGTATAAGATTAATGCTTAGTAAGTCGCTTCGGTGAATGTGTCTACCAAATGCATAAATAAGTGAATGCCATGCAAAACCGGGCATTTCACAGAAACTTCTTGGGGAGTTTTAGGATTAAATACATCTGGTGAATGCAGACAATGATTTATAGACATCTAAATGGGTTGTGAGACTGAGAAACGGTTCAACATCAACATCCAGATTTCAGTACTTATGACACAAGGACTCTCTTGTGAAATGGCATCAGTCATGGTGTGTGAAGAACAACCGCAACACTCTGAACATCAATTATGAAACAAGGACTGCATGATATTATGATGGGATCAGTGACAACATATGCTGTACATACAGCTCAGACACAAGTTATTTGCATAGAAGAGTTGTATTTTTTATGTTTCATCTGTAATCCTAAATTTACGATTAGATATTACAATATATGTGCAATGTATAGCACAATCATATTTTATTTATATATCACATTTATATCGTTCTAATTCTATTATATTCTAATATGCATGTTTATGTATGTTAAGTAATTTCACCCCCCCTCTGCCAAAAATATAAATTATGAATAATTGAGCTCATTAAAACTTGTTTTTTTATGTTACAGTCAACTCCCTTAGATGAAATTCAAAAGTAAAATAAAATAAATAAATCAATAAATAAATAAAAATACAACAACCTAACTGCCAAATTACACTAAAACTTGAAATGTATAATTTATTACTAATATTATTATTAATTATTTACTGAATAGTTAGCATGTTCTTATTAACTGCATTAACCGTTTATTTTTGAAGTCTCTTTTGCTCACAAAGACTACATTTCTTTGATTAAAAGTACAGTAAAAAGAGTAATGTGATATATTTTTACAATTTAAAAAAGGTTTTTCTATTTTAATATATTTTAAAATGTCATTTATTCATGTGATTAACATACATTAACATTAGGATTATTTTTTAATTATTTCTTTTATATATATATAAAGGACTAAATGTATAAATGTGAATAGAGAGTACATTTAAAAAATATTAATTAAAAATTATTTTAAACTATTACAAAATAAAATACAGTACCAGATATATTCTATGATAGATAAAATAAATAAATAAATATTCAAAACATTTTTCAAAAATATTATTATTATTATTATTGTTTCATTAATAAAGCAAAGTAATTTGACAAAAATCAAACCCCTCCCACCTTCAAAAAAAAGGGGTGGGGGGGTTGCGGTGTACACTCGAGGTGTTGCCTATAGCAAGTGTTGCCAAGTCTGCGATTTTCCTGCGGAATTGGGCTACTTTTACACTATTGCCATGGGTTGTTTTTCATGTTCGCGGGTTGAAGTGACCCCAATAAAGTGATATTTATCCCCTGGAATGCGACTTTTACCAGGGAAAATAAATAAATCAATAAATAAATAAAAATACAACAACCTAACTGCCAAATTACACTAAAACTTGAAATGTATAATTTATTACTAATATTATTATTAATTATTTACTGAATAGTTAGCATGTTCTTATTAACTGCATTAACCGTTTATTTTGGAAGTCTCTTTTGCTCACAAAGACTACATTTCTTTGATTAAAAGTACAGTAAAAAGAGTAATGTGATATATTTTTACAATTTAAAAAAAGTTGTTCTATTTTAATATATTTTAAAATGTCATTTATTCATGTGATAAACATACATTAACATTAGGATTATTTTTATTTTTTAAATGTTAAAATATTATTTTGTTAAATGAAAAAAAACAGTAAATATATATTTAAAATGTTAAATAAAATTAGATAGATAGATAGATAGATAGTATCATCATTTATTTTTTAAATAGAAATATTTTGTAGTTTGTAAATATTTATAACATTATAAATGCCTGTCATTTTAAACCAATTTATTTCATCCTTGCTGAATAAAAGTATTATTTAAAAAAAAAATCGTAATATTTTAACTGTATTGTACGTTTAGAAAAGAAATTCTAATAGCAATCGTTATGCATGGGTTGTTTTTCATGTTCGCGGGTTGAAGTGACCCCAATAACGTAATATTTATCCCCTGGAATGCGACTTTTACCAGAGGAATCCCTCCAAAAAATGTGTATTTTACCCCCGGAAAGCGATTTTTACCGGGGGATTGCCCCTGAAAAGCTATTGGGCTAGTTTTGGGCTAGTTTTGAGTTTGCCTATAGCTGTTAGCCCACATGCTGGGATACAGACTCGAGATTTTGCATCACTTCCAAATCCATCATTTGCTGTCTATTCTTACTGTCCTCAATGGTTAAATCAGCGAAAAGTCTAAATATGAAAAAGAACACCTTTTCAAAACGAAAATTGACATTTGTAACCATTTAGGAAGCTGCTCGAGTGCTCAAATACTGATCTGATGCCAGTTTTCTCAATCCAAAGCCCACTGTCACAGATACAACTAATCTGATCCCAGACCAACATTAAAGGGCGGCAGCATTAGGCACAGCTCAGCAAGATAAATGACATTTTCTAAAATCATGCTGACATTTTCAATTATCATGCATGGGCACTGGCACGCCAAGAGCAGGTTTGTCAGGCTGAGGCAGACATTCACCTTATCGCACGGGGAAGAGTCCGCCAACTGAACAGAACAGGGCTTAGGGACAGAATCTGGACCTGATTGGGGTCTGGATAGAGGTGGAATTGGATGTCGGGTGAAAACGAGGATAAAGAAGCGGGTGTGGGCGGCACTCGGATAGGTAGACGCTCTGACTTCAACCTGGCCACCACTTGAGGGCTCTTGGCTCCAATGAAGACCTTCAATGAAAGGCTACGGTGAACGGTCAAAGTCTGTGGCACATTTTGTCTTCATTTTCATATCATGTTTACATTTAATTTGTACATATGTAATAAATTAAATAAATTAAATGTTTAAATAAAAATTTTAATCCTGACAGAACTTTTAATATCAGGGCACCTTTAATAAGAATAAACAAAAATATGTCCGAAAAACGGTCTTTAAAAAGAATATGTTTTACTTTAAAAACTAAAGTTTTTAAAATGCTTCATTCCATGTTTACATTTAATTTGTAAGTATTTAGATTAATATTTTATTTTAAAATAAAGTGTTCAGTGGAGGATAAAGAAGCGGGTGTGGGCGGCACTCGGATAGGTAGACGCTCTGACTTCAACCTGGCCACCACTTGAGGGCTCTTGGCTCCAATGAAGACCTTCAATGAAAGGCTACGGTGAACGGTCAAAGTCTGTGGTGGTTTTTTTGGTTGTGTGTGTCGAAAAAACAGCCAGGTTTGGATTGATTTCCTCGCAGTAAATCCAAGAATACTCTTAAAAATAAAGCAGGTTTATGCAGCGATGCCATTGAAGAATCATTTTTGGTTCCCTAAAGAACTTTTCAGTAAGCAGCTCTTAAAAGAACCACTTTTTTCTTAGTGTAAAGAACATTTGAATTATCTAAAGAACCCTTTTTTCCACTATATAGAACCTTTTGTGGAATGGAAAGATTCCATAGTTGTTCTTCATGGAACCATTAATGCTAATAAAGACCATTTAGACAGTGAGGCGGTTAGAAAGACACTCCAGCAGCAATCGTCAGAAGTTGACACGGCAATTAAAAATTTAAAGGCCATAATGACGGAGTTCATTAAAATGACATTTTAAATAGAAATGTGATGTACATAAATAAGGAAATAATAAAAGACAGTTCAAAAAGGCATTGGAAAAGATGACCGTTAATCTCCCGTCAAGGAAAATGGAAAGTTTGTAGGAGAACGAGCGAAATCCAAGAGTTGATTTCGGAGGAGTCAATTATGCAAAGCATGGCAACAGAACAAGCAGGTGTCTCTGCATCACAAAACAACTTTGATTAACATCTTTTTTTTTTTTTATAAGAATGCTACTTGAAAACATTGCAGCTACAGTTATGTTTATTGCTTGTCAGGGATTACAGGATTATAGGGATATAGGATTGTCAGCAATTGAAACTTTTTTTGCTACTTGTACTTTTTGACACTTTGAGTTGCTTTTTTTTGCTACTTTGTGTTCAAAATTAATTTCAACAAGAAAGAAAGAAAAAAAGAGCCATACACAGTATCATATCAGTTATCAGAAAATGTATTAAAG